AATAATGATTTTCTTCGTTCTCAAGAGAATGTACCAATAGATAGTAAGCAACGATACCAACAGAATGAAAAAACAATAGTTTACCAAATATAGCGCTGCTGTATCGTAGATAGTTTGTTTTTATATAGCAAATTGCTTGAGTTATTAATGATAGCAAAGTTTATCAGCATGTATGTACAGTTGATCAGATAACTTTTTTGGGCGGAAGAATATGATTCATCGTTTGATTTGTATGAGAAAGGAAAGAAAGGACTTTGGAATATGTATATGTTCTATCCATAGATATGATCGATGTTACTAAGTGAGATTGTTTTTCACAATCGATTATCTTACTTGCTATCAAGTTTAGAAAAACAGACAAAATAAACTGAATTTTTTTTGTATTTTGAAAAAAGTAGAATTATCTATATAATGGTGTATTTTTTGTCACTAACGTTCATACGATATAAGAAAAATAATAGGCCTGTCGTACTATCATTAAAATTTATTATTACCAACGGTAATGCTTTAGATATTAATTGTAAAATTAGCCTTAAAACTTTGGTATCAATTTCATTAAAGTTAATTAACGCCAACGTATTAGTATCATTTTCAATATTAATATAGAGATTACCCATGAGTAGATCTTGAATAGCCTAAGTTTAGAAGTTTCCAAAACCAAATAATTTTGTTCTATTCTTGGAGTAGTACTTCTAGTTAGAAAAGTCTTTGCTCTTTTCTTGGAAATGACATTTCCGCGTATAAAAAACTTTTATTCTGTTTAGGGAATAGCATTTCCGGGTATAAAAAAATCCCTCTGTTCTGTCCTGGGAATGGTATTTCCGGCTAGAAAAGAAACCTTTGCTTGGTTATCAGAAAGTATCGAGTATGAACTCTCAGAGATATGGTCGCTCTTCGTATATGTTTTAGGAAAAAAAAATGAATGCTGATTGCCCGGCATCTAATGTAAATAATACTACAGCATAATGGTTACTTTTGACACTAATACTAATTTGACATTCTCTAGAATATGAAATTAAGGAGATATTTGAAAATGTCTTGTAATTGAAACCAAAAGAAGACAAATATTTATACTGTTTCAATTGATTTATTTTATTGTTGTTGCTATTTTTGACAACAAATTCATTCAATAAGACTCATGAATTAATAATTTATATCGAAAAAATTAAAAGCATCTATTTAATATTATCTTTCAACGAATGTAAATTACAAATAACTAGAGTTTCACTTTTGAGTTTTGTTTTCCAATTTAGATTGTCGAATGTTTGATCGATTTGTAATCACTGATTAATTGATTTCAATTATTTTCGTATAAATAAAAAAATATAAGCATGTAAAAGAAAAGTATTAGATACATTTTGACTTCAATAATTATTTTGTGAATATTAAATGCTACTCTTATTAAATAATTGATCAAGATAAAATGCTAATAGATCACTTCAACTTTTTTTTAGTTTCTTTGATTGAATCCGTAATTCACAGAAATTTAAAAAAAAAAATATTTAATCCTATGTCGTGAAAATCGCCGCAATTTTACCGATTTTTATGAAATCGATAAAATTGCGGCGATGTTCGCGACATCGAATATCATTTCTGCCAACCTTTAAGCGTCTGCTATCAGTAAAATGATGAAATATACAAAATTTATATTGGAACAGAAATTCGAAATATTTTTAATCTCAATAAATTATCTTTTTTTTCTCTGATAACTAAATATTTGAAAATAAATAAAAATTTCTCTGAAATGTTTTTCATCACGTAAGTCATTGCCATAGTAACGTACCTCTTTTCAAACATAAAGCATTTTTCTTCTTCATCTATGCATTTTACATCAATGTCATATATCAATGGCTGATTAACTTTACAACGCATGCTTGAAATATTGTAATCATTTTAAAATCATTATCGTCATTCGTTACTTGTATTTTTCCTTCGTTCGATTTAACGCTCTAAAATATGCAAAATAATCAAATAGCTTTTCAAGATGCTATAGCGCGTGCTCAACAAGTCGCTCAAAAATTAGCAGCATCAGCACCAAATGCTAATAAAAATTCTCCGTTGAAACGACCAAATAGTGAAGAAGATAGTTCGGCAAAACGTGCAGCAAACAATTCTCCAACGCAAACAAATTCTTTACCACCACCTGTATTACGTGCACAACAGATAGCACAACAAATAAATTCGCAATTAGGTGTAAAAACATCAAATGATTCAATATCATTACCACTTTCAAATCAATTAACATTTCAAGAGGATTATAAAATTCCTGATAAATTTGTCGGTCTTATTATTGGTAAAGGTGGTGAACAAATAATTCGACTTCAAGCTGAAAGTGGTTGTAAAGTACAAATATGTCAATTACGACCAGAACCTTTACCTGGCGGTCCTAATCCCCCTGATCGTTTAGCAAATTTATGTGGTACAAGAGACGCTATTGAAAGAGCTAAACGTATAATGGATGATATTATATCAAGGGGAAAAATGACTGAAAGTGGTTCAACAAGTATTAATCCATATTCAATGGGAGGAACGAATATTAAAACAATTGATGTTATGTTACCATCAGCTAAATGTGGTTTAGTTATTGGTAAAGGTGGTGAAAATATTAAGCGAGTATCTGTAAGAAATTAATTTGATTGCTTAAGAAAAACAAAAAACAAAAGAAATTTTCTTTTCAGGAAGAATTCGGTGTTAAAATGTATGTTGTTCAAGATTCAGCAGATGTTGATGGAATTGAACATAAACCATTACGAATTATGGGTGAATCTGATCGAGTTGAGGTAAGAAATCAAGAAATCCTTGTTCCTTTTTTTTTTTTTATTTAATTTATTTTAGCGTGCTAAACAATATGTACTTGATTCATTATCAAAATCAGGTGGTTTACCTAACTCAACAAATCGTTTTAATGCCAATCAAAATAGCACAACATTAAATGATTCGAACTCACGAGTAAATATTTTATAATAAAATTTTTTGCTTTCTTGTTTAAGGACATTTTTAGATGGGTAATACACCCATAACTGGCCCATGTAATGAAGCAATTTATCATGTACCTTATGATAAAGCTGGAATTATTATTGGCAAAGGTTGGTATATTAAAATTTTTTTTTTTTCGTTCTTCTTTTTAGTTTTCAAATTATTTTAGGTGGTGAAAGTATTAAAGAAATTAATCGAAGATCAGGAGCTTTCGTTGAACTTGATAAAACTCATATGGCAACAGTAGGAAATTCATCTGAGAGAGTATTTAAATTACGTGGTACACCTGAACAAATAGCTACAGCACAACAATTAATGTATGAAAAAGTTGTGAATAGTCCTGGTGGTCCTGGTGATATGTTAACACCAATACTATTCCAACAACAATTTAATTTACCATTACTTGGAACGAATCCAATCGAAACATGGAATAATAATAATGATCAATATGGAAATAGTACAAATAATAATGATCCTTATAGCCAATGGGCAAATGCTTATGGACAATGGCCACAATGTAAAAGTTTTTGATTTGAAAAACAGAAGAAAAAAAAAACTGTGTTTCTTTTTTTTTTTCTTTTAGTAAATTCCTATGATCAAAGTACATCAAAAAATGATAATAATTCACCAGCATCAAAAACTACTGCTTCAGACATGACACAAATGGATCCAACTTGGTTAGCTTATTATCAACAAATGAATTATTATAATATGATGCAATCAAGCATGACAGGAAATACATCGACTAGTACAACTGCAACAAAATCAACAGATTCAACAGTAAATACAAATAATACTAGTTCGACAGCAGCAGGTTTGTAGAATTTTTAAACTATTGATTTATTTTATTTATATTCATGAATGTGTTTTTAATAGGGATAAATCCAACCACTGGACAGCCAGATTATAGTCAACAATGGATTGAATATTATCGATCAATCGGACAAAATGAATTGGCTGATGAAATCGCTCGACAAATGAAAGCGGTAAGAATTTCATTTTTTCTATTCATAATCGAAAAATTTAGTATACTACATATCTCTAAGCGATGTATTAGTTTCTTGAGATTTATTGACTCAAAATATTCACATTTTTTTTTTATTTCAGTCTAATTCCAATACAGCATCTGCAACCACAACTAATTCAACTACAAATGCAGCACAAGCAACAGCTACTGCTATGATGATGTCAGCGAGTAATCCTTGGGCTGCTTATGCTCAGCAATGGGTCGATGCAGCAGCATCGAACACTACAAATGGGACTAATTCATCAACAACATCTTCTTAAGGTAAGCAGGCGAAGTAAAATCTTTTTCTTTTCTTAAATTTAACTTGAAAAAGAAATATTTATGCTTGGAGTCAATGATGCTTGTAAGTCATCATTGTAATAAAATGAAAATTTATTATTATTATTTGTCTGGTTTTTTTTTTTGTTCTTTCTTTATCATTATTTGTAGGAATCGATTGATTAATTCTTCTCTTCGTCTTTGTCTGATTCAACAATATTGATTTATTTATTATATATATATTTATGTGTTTTCCTTAGAAGACAATAAATCTTTTTTTTTCTTTTTTCAAACATCGACGATCTATACAAGAAAAATCCAATTTGTCTCATCAACAAATGTTATTTGTATTTGTTTATTTCTTTTTCTTTTGTTTTAAACATTATTTGTAATATGTTTTGTCTTTACTCTATGATTATCTCTGTTTTATTTCTAGCTGAAAATTATGAGCTAGTCTCATAATTATTTACCGAGACAAAACACGAAAAGAAAATCTTTTGTTTTTTTTTTCTTCTAGCTAAAATTATTTTCTTTGTTAACATATAGAAGACAGAGTTAAACGGGTAAAACATAAAAAATTTTTATTCTATTCATGTTTTATATAGAAATACCAAAAACGGCAAAGGTTTTCGGTAAGTTTTTTTTTATTAAATAAATAAATATGATCAAAGATTTGAAGAGAAATGAGGAGAGAAGAAGAAGATGAAGAAGAAAAAAAAAACAAGAATATATTTTATTTTGCCATGATATTTATAATTTATTTTGGTTTAGATTATAATTTTGGCTTTAATCAGGTATTTTGGTATTTCAATTTTATTTTAGAAAAAAAATATCAACAAATTCAATCAAGTTTGAATAAAAAATTTTTTCTTCATATCTTTTATATAATTGATATTGAATTTGATTTAGAATTGAGAGATAAAAAATGGTCAAAAACTATAATTAATGCACATTACTTATTTACAATTAGTTTTAAAGATGATCTGTAACTACAAAAGTATACAATGAAAAATCTATCGACGATGGATCTAAGATTTTTATAAACGAGAAGGAAAAGAATCTTGATCAAATCACATGTTTTGCAGTTCATTAGTGTTATTATCAACGTATTTTTGCGCATTTTCTAATGAGAAAAGGTTTTCATGTGGAGTAGCGATCACCTGCAGTGCTCCCTTCCCTGTAAATCCGTCACTGGAATGTATCAGTGTCTTTTAGAATATAATAAATACGGAAATAATTGACTTTTTTCTTTGTTGATGATCAAGATGTGAAAATACTACAAACGTCATTTCTTATATGATATTCATTCAAGTTAATATGAAGTGCATTTTTCTGTTTTTAGGAATGTTTATATAGTTAATTATAAAAACCTATTTTCATTTTACTAAAAGTAATTTCAACATGTGTAGGGCTTTCTTTCGAATTTTCTTTTTTTTTGTTTATAAATTCATTAAAATTAATACTGAAATTTATTGCATAATATTAATCTATAGAAAATATTGTATAAACTAACAAATGAATGATTGATCGAATTGAAACTCAATGAATAAAACTATGCACAAAAATAAAATTCAATCATATGTAACATTTTTTCATATTTTAAATTAAATATTAATTCATTTAAAAGTATAAATTCTGTTTTGTTTGTAATTGAAAATGATTTGAATTAATAGAATCGTACGAAGTGTTTTTTCTTTTTTACACACGTATATATATTTTATATCGTTGTCTTTAAATGATAATTTTCTATTCAATTTCTGATACCGAATGAAAATATTTTTTTGATCTTCAATTATAGAAATGATTATTAACTCGCGCTCAATATACAATTGTTTTCTTTTTTGAAAACTGGTTAAACATATGACTTTTAAATTATCGATGAAAATATGGATTATTTTTTTATTGTTTTAAAACAAAACAAGACAACAAAATATATAGCTTATTCTATACATATATACAGAACAGAAGACAAAAAAAAAAGAATTTTATATTCGGTTCATATTCTTTAGGAATCTTTTATCATTCAGGAATATTGTTCTTAATTTGATTAGCTTCTGCTTCAACATTAGCTGAAGTATTATTATTAATATCAGTAATATCAATAGCACCTTTTAAATGAATAGCTTCATCTAAGGAAATTCCTCGTTCAATTTCTTGTACTTGTTGATATGTTGGTAAAATAGTTGTAGAACAAACTTGTTGAGGATTAGGTACTAGTCGATGACGAGAAAGATTTGTTGCCATTGATGGTCGAATAATAGGCATCATCATAGCTGATGATAATGGAGACATTGTTGGACGAATAACGGGAAATTTAACAAGTGGACGATTATTGAATTTCGTACCTGGATGTGCAATATTTGGTGGTAGAATTGATTGAGCTTGTTGTTGAGTACCTGCTAATTGTCCTTGTTGTTGTTGTTGTTGATAGACAAGAGCTTGAGTTGCTAATAGTGTTGGTAATGCCGCTTGAATTTGTTGTGCTTGAGCTTGAAGTGCAGCTTCTTTAAGACGTTGTTGAATCACTAGATGATAGAAAAAAAATTTTTTTTTACATATTAATTTAAGATTTACTTATTCCTAAAAGAGCATTTGTAAGTTGATATTGTAATTGAACTGTTGATTGTGATTGTGGTTGTTGTTGTTGTTGTTGTTGTTGTAAAATAAGTGAATTCATTAATGCTTGTACATGACTTAAATTAGTTTGTGCTGATGAATTTTGTTGTCGAGCTGCAATAGCAACAGCAGCTAAATTTTTAGCATGTAAATCTTTTCGATGAGTTGAACCAGCATTATTTGATATGTCAGAATTTGTACTACTTGATGAAGATGATTTTAATGGTTTTGTTAATTGTTCAGTTTTTGTTGAAGAATTTGGAAGTTTAATTTCATCGGATTTATTATTTGTTTGTGATACTTGTAAGCGTGATGAATGTTGTTCACGTTTATCAATTTGTTGTTGAAGACGATGTCGAGGTGGTATATTATCATAATATGAATGATTATTATTATTATTATTATTAGATGATGACGATAAAAAAATAGATTTTGAATTATGTCGTTGTTCATTTTTAGTTTGTTTTCCTTTTCGTATATATCGTGATGATAATGAATATATATTTCGATGTTGATGATAATAATTATTCATATAGAAATCACTATTTGATTCATGAAAATCATTATTCCAATAGTTGTTTTTATTAATTAACGATTGTCGATGATACTCGTTACGGTCCAAATAAGCATTTGTATTACGCGACTGTTGGAGACTATTATTATTAGTTCGATGGCGTTGTTGTTTTTGTGTTGATGATGATGATGATGACATTTTGGGGGAAAGAATCAAAGAGATAATGGGCACGTTGACACCTATACTCGCTGAAAATCCACACAATTATTATAAACGATTTGCCGCCATGCTTTTTCTAAGGCAAAAGAAAAGCTAATTATTTCGGAAAAAAATGCACGTGATTCTATACTTTTCTCTTTGTTCTATCGATATAGATATATCTCGATTCTCTATATATATGTAAAGGGAAAGATAAGGAATACATTGTATCAGAATGAAGAAACTAGAACGCAAAATGTTTCGCGAAGTCCATTGTCGATTTCGAATTATGCTTTTTGTCACAGTTTTTAGTTTGGCTATTGCTATTGCTGTTTTGCCATTTTTGATTTGTACGTTTAAGTTTGAAAAGAATTGAATTAATCTTATTTTAAAAAATTTTCTATTTAGACAACTTGACACGTTCTGTGTCAAAAGTACCTAACAAATCACTTCATCGATTACCAAAAACTATTATTCCATCACATTATCGTTTGTATATTGATGCTAGTCAACTTGAACAATATACTTTTCAAGGAACTTTAGCTATTGATATTGAAGTAAACATAATTCAAATTTCAATTTAATAAATAATAATTTTAAAAATTTTTAGATAAAAGCAATTGTGAATGAAATTATACTAAATAGTGTGCATTTAAATATAACAAAAATAGAGCTTCAACATAATGATTTCAATTCTATTCTTAATGGATCAGTTGAATATCATGAAGATTATGAACAAGCAATAATTAAATTTAATCAAAAATTAAATGTAAATTTTATAAATTCATTTTAAACTAGTTAAAAAATATTGTTTTATTTTCTTTTAAGCCTGGAAATAGTCGTTTATATTTATCATTTAGTGGTAAAATAAATGATCATCTTAATGGATTTTATCGAACTAAAGCTACTAATCGTATAGGTGCATCGACACAATTTGAAGTAAGATTTTAATTACAATTAGTTTTAATTTTATTTTTCATTAAATTGTTTTTAGCCTGGATATGCTCGTCAAGCTTTTCCTTGTTTTGATGAGCCGTCATTTAAAGCTAATTTTACAATAACTATTCGAGCTCCTAAAAATTTAACAACATTGAGTAATATGGTATAAGAAAAATAAATAAATCATTCATTCTAAAATAAAATTATGTTTGTAATTCTTATTAGCCAATTAAATCACAATATGATGATGGAAATGACACGTCTATTCATAAGTTTCATTCATCACCGGTCATGTCGACATATCTAGTTGCTTATGTTATTGGTCATTATGATTATATTCAAACGTATGATTCTAATAATGTACTTATTCGTGTTTATACACCAATTGGAAGAAAAGAACAAGGATCATTTGCTTTAACAGTTAGTTTTTGGTTTTTTAAATAAAAATGTTCATATTTAAAATGATGTATATATAGACTGCTGCTAAAATGCTTCCATTCTTTGCGGAATATTTTGGTAGCAAGTACCCATTAAGTAAACTCGATATGATTGCCATTGCTGATTTTGGTTCTGGTGAATAAAAGAATTGATTGTTTTCTTCTGTAATTTTGAACACATTCTTTTTTCCGTTTTTTAGGCGCCATGGAAAATTGGGGGTAAGGGATAAATTGCTAAAAAGTTCAAAAAATTTTTTTTTTAAATTTAATCAGATTAGTAACTTATCGTGAAACATAT